AAACTAAAATGCAAACATGACTCAGGATTTACTTTTCTTATTACTGAATCTGTAAACAAAACATACAAAACATCATGAAGCAATGCTAAAAACAATAAAAGGTCAACAAATTAATGGATAAAGGAGGTTAAGAAACAGTAAAGAAATACACAAAGACAAAAAAAAAATGTCTGGATAGGATTACTTTTGTTAAACCAAGCCTTTAAATAAAAAAGCAAAATGTGAAAGTAAAATCCACATAAAACTACATAGACACTTGGAACCTTGGTCACCCTAACACCCAAGTCATCAAACTGGGAAGTCATCTGATGTAAGCTGTGCTGATGCAGAAAGGGTTACAAAAAAAACTAGCTCAGGATGTATTACTGAAATCCAACAATCTTTAAAACCAATACACTCTGTTAAACTTTGAGGGTATTAAATAGATTGTGATGAACTCCAGACAGGTAGCAGTGAAACAGGCTAAGGGGAAGTAATATTGACATCATGATACCTACTTGCTTTGTAATCACCCTGTGTGTTTATTTCTAACAATTATAAATATTAATAACTACATCTAGTATTAACTATGTCTACAGACAAAAAGTCAAAGAAAATGAGAATAATAAGTAAGTACTGTACCTGTACAAGGCATTAGCATCAGCAAAGCGCTTGTTATCTACAATCAGATTGTAGGCAATCTTTAGTTGGTTGTGCTGGTCCTCAGAGAGAAGAGCATTTTGTACCTCACTTGCACTAACTTGGAATTTCTGAAAAATTAGTTTTTCTTAAGAACTTGCACATTTCTGACATATATTCACATATTTCAAGGCAAATACATGCTTCAGTAGAATATCAGAATAGATATAAAACTTACATCACAGACTTCAGTTATGGCATCCTGATCAACAACAGAACTATCATGGTCATGAGGAGGTGGGAACAGATAAGCTGGGAGATCCTTTTGGAACCATTCATGCTTCCTGGAATATCATTTACTGTCATAAAAAGCATCTGCTTGGAGGTAAAATTGTAAATCATCAGTTTGTCAAGGAAAATTTACATAAATATACAATACATCAAAGCTGACATTTCAAGTTTAATAATATAAACATATATATATATATTCATGTATACTAACTTGATATCATCAATTGTAGCACGCTTCATAGGATCAACAACAAGCATGTGCAACAAACAGCGAACAACACTCTGATTCAAATAATCTGGGATCTGGAATACACCAGCTGCCAATCAAAAGAAAAACATACATTTTAAGATAATACACAAAAGCTTAAAAAGACAAATGTTTGCAAAAGCTAGTAAACTTTTACAAAAGATAATAATGGATTTTGAGACTATTTCTTATTAATCATTTTTGCTTATGTTCTTATAAAAGATTAGAATGTGGTATCCCTTTAGAAATAGTGAGATGGAATGATATGATCTGGGCAAGTTACAAAAAGAAACTGAATGAAATACATAAAAATACAAAATTTTCTGTGAGCAAACAAAGAAAATAAACAATTTAGAAAATAGTTAGATACACACACTAAATTTACTTCTCCAACCAAGGCTTTCGCAGACAACCCCACTTACTTTTGATCTTTTTGAAGAGTGTTGGCACATGCTCATCGTCAAATGGTAGTGTACCACAGAGGAGAGCATACAGGATGATGCCACAGGACCATACATCCACCTGTGGTAATTAGACCATAATAATTTCTTACTCCACTTCAGGGCAGAGTGACATGAGACTATTGTAAGAAAAAAAAAGAAAAAAAAAAGAAAAAAAGAAAAAAAAAAAAAAAAAAAAAAACAAAAAAAACTGAGCTGACTGATTTTAATTATAAAGCAAATGTTTCAGATTAACTGTAATCTTTTAGGAATCATTGTCATCTTTCTATTACTTTGGGGGGAATTATTTAACCCATTGCTGACGGGAATGGTATGTACGTTCACTGTGAATTTACTTGTTTACTTGTTTTTAAACATAGATGGCTACAATTGTACTAAGTCACCAATGAGCAAATTACGAGTAATGCCTGTCCCGCCTGTTTACCCTTTTCTTTTATTTATGAAAATATTTTACATTATCTTATTTTGCTGTTACTAATGTTTATAACATCATAGTAATTATAATGTCTATAATAAAAATAACACCATCGATATTCATAGCACTAGTAAAAAATACGTTTTTCCCACCAATTCAAGGAAAGGTGAAATCGGGTAAGGTTACAAGATCTACTAATTGACCCCTTTGTGGCTAAGCACTAGTAGAGCCATCTATGTACATTTCACAAAAATATAAAAAATGAGCACAGCATTTTTCCCCATTTTTTATTCATTTTCCCTGTGACAATGGGTTAAAGTAAATGGGTGCCTCTTTCCATATAGATACTATGCTGTTATACCTTTACTGTCCAAGACAAAGAATGCTGTATGTGACAGATTGTGAGTAGGTATTTAACTCAATGCTCCCAGGGATGGCTTGTATACACATGTCATGTCCATAATAACT